CTGTCTGTTGGAAAGGCTGTGGAACTCTGATAGCCGATGATGGCGATGACGGAGACAAGAAAAACTTTGCAATGTTTTCTCACCGCTGATCAATCCTGATGCAACTACAATTCAGTGAAGACAACGCATATGCGGTGTGCATCCGGAGGTTCGGGGTGCTGAATTTCTACGCTATAATTACGTGTGTTACGATCATTTTTCTCCATCTCGTAACAAATTTAGTTACTCTGCCTTGCTAGTCCATAACGGCACAGTTATTCAGTAGCTAGGGTTGCAACGAGGTTCTCCTGGCATCTAACGGTATGGTATTCCGTAACACAAAGTGTGACTTTTGTTTCCCGTTACACACATTGAAATTTCTCAAAATAGACAGAAGAGCCTAGCAGATACAATTTGTGAAACCCACCTGACAACAAATACATCCAATCTCCAAGGTCCCGCCGCTGTCGAATGCTGTCTCTTCAGATCACATCATATAGGTCGCCGAGACAACTATACTCTTGTACGCCGTTTCTAGGTGATTTTTAGGATGAAACATGATCATCAGTATCATAGGTAACTTAGCCCAATATCGCAAGATGCCCGTTTGGTGCCTGCTTTCGTGCCTAATCGATATGCTGTGTACATGCGACCCGAAGGGCTGGTAGCGCGATACAGTGCGTTTTGTCTCATGGTATCGGTGTGAATTGGTTTCAATATCGGACTCTCTTTCCGCAGCTTCTGTATGAAGTCCGGTTGTACCAACCATATTCGATGGTTTTACTCCTCACGCGATATGTCAAAAGAGCGATTACTAGTAGAAAAATCAGGAGGAATATGCATACTTGGCTGTGGCGTCTATTACGGATATTTCCGCAAAACGCTATGTCGAAAGCTACAGTACAAGGCTGGCTAATATTTGCTTACTTGCGTGGGTGGCAAAACATAAAATAAGTCTTATTTAGTGATTATTTTCCGTAGTAAAGTCTAGAAAACACTCTTCTGGCCTTCATGGGATTGTCATTAAAGCCCTAAATACAACTCAATTACCCTATGTCTCACTATCGAGGCTCTTATTTAGGATAGATATGACTGGCTGAGAATGTTTCGGAATGACATCATGAGCCATGCCTTCCTGTGCAGGAACAAAGGAAATTTCTTTTCACGAAGGCTGGCCTTCCCCATGATTGTAGGCAAGCCGCAAAAGCACCCATTGCGTTTAAGGAAAAATTATAAAAGTGTTTTCTATAAACCAACATGGACAAACCTTGCCACTTCATCAATGAGCCTCCCCGAGATACAGCATACGCAAGGGCCTGATAATCAAGTTACACGCGTGCCGACCGAGCCTGCTTATGATGTCGCTGTTATGTATGTTTAACGATAATGGACGACTTGAATTATCACTCTTACCAGTTCACGGGTTCCATTGATGTACCTCGTACACGAGAAAACCAGGTTCTACTGCTCGCACACAGGGACAATGAACCTCAGCTCAATCGTGTGCCATCTCATGAGAACATATTCCGTTAAGAATCGCGGCATTATCTTACAGTGAAAATTCTGCTTTCAGCAGTAAGCCTGGGAGGAATGGAAGAGGAGGAGGATGTTGGAGGTCAGAAGAACCACAGTGGTGGGTGGAAACCATTCCGTTGTGGGAAATCTTGAAGCATTGGCTTATGCACAACCCGATCCAACTAAACCAAGAGCCGTAAAGCGGCGGGCGGCACCGCAATTCTTCGATTCACACTAGGGAATGACGCGCCGTTGGGTCCACCCCGCATCCCAGGACCATGGCCAAAAATCCCAGGTGGCGCGAAAAAACGCTGTCAACTACTCCACAAAGCGGTATCGATTTCCATCCTGATCGAGTGCATAAACCGCGAGAGGTCTTCCGGCATGCATACTTTGTTCACCGAATTCAAAACAAGGCTTAAATGTAACGTAATTTCAGAACGTATTCATCGCACAGCCACCAACCAACCCATTCTTTAGGTTTTCCCCACTGAGGATTCTACGCCTATATTGGAAGTACAACTTCATATTCTCATTTCCAATACAGGAATGAGCAGCCAAGCCCGCGGTTCCGCATGGTCCAGCTTAACGCCAGGCACGCGACCAACTATTCATGTTGACCGAAAACCCCATGTATGTACTCCATCCATTTTAGTACCAAAGGGTCTTTGATTTTGTCTATCGGCACGGCCCGATATGAAGCTAAGATTCTCCAATCGATGATACGTCAACGTTTTGCCACTCATGCACTGCTTAGCTGGAATAATTTTGAGCATATTAATAGCATATTAATAGCAGATTCAACGCCAAGATCTCGGAGACGCTCAGGAACAAATAATCATTCAGCCCCCTGCGGGGTGCATGAGGAATGCCAAGATCATTGGAAAAGCCGTTTTTGGTGCATATGCTGACGATTTACAACAGCATCGTCACTTACCGAGTTCCGTTCCATTGAGACATTAAAGCTACCACTCAAGTACTGTACACTCTGTCTCGGCTCTTTTTATGGGTAGGTGCAGGCACGTTATTTTATGTTTTGGTACTTACAGCTTCTGTACTCCGGAGGTCTGCGTGTGTCGGATCATCAATCAGGATTGTCATCATGGTTACGTCCTACAGCTCACGCAATTGGTCGTCTGTATAATAATAAAAGGTCTGGCCGTGTCCAGTTGTTTTGGTTCCACTCAGGGAACACAACGGGATTTGCCGGTAGGTACTGAGACGATAGTGTGACAAATCAGATAACCATATCGAACGAGAGATACTTTCTACATATAATGCTCAATTAGGCGCTCAATATTTATTAGTCTAGGATCCAAATCCATGGATAACTCGCGTATCAGACTTTTGCAATTAATACTCGAGATTTTATCAGTGGTACCGAACGTAACTCGAGGGTTCCAGGCCGGGCTGAACGGAAATTTGACGCTCCCATGTGTCATGGTCAAGCTTGCGCTTGCGCCTTGCAAATCCCATTGGTAATAATAAGACCACAAAAGTATCATATATATATGTCCAAGGTAAGGCTAACTGGTACTTTATTCTGGAGATCAAGTCCATGGTTGAGGCATACCAATAAACTTTACCGCTCTGATTGGTACAACACGGCAAAGTACTGAACAACCTGTACAAAGCCGTTTTCCTCTGTACAATTTCATACGGTGTTTAAAAATCGGAATATCTAAATATATTACATCTGTATCATCGTTTCTGCTCTAGTTTTTAGTAATTGATCATCTGAATATTTTCACTGCGAATTCCTCGAATAGTTGAGATTTTATGTGCGACGACAGTCCTTGCACCATTGTGTAACCGCCCCGAAAGATTGAGCTTGGAGCTGAGTTTCCGATGATCTTCATGCAAAATACCATCGAGATAGTTATTTGCCGACATGAGATATGCAGCCTTGAACACTACATTCACCGTTGACAGTTCGACCCTAAAGCGGCTCAACAGCTACTGTGCGAAAGTGATACGGAAAGATTTTCAGTAACGCATCATGACTTTGTACATTCACAATAGTATCCCTATACTGATATCCGTAAATATCCGTCTTAGAGAGTCTATGAGAGTACAATGTTCTAGGAATCGTAATTTTATAGCATGCGCGCTTGAGTACCGCAAATCATCTCGTCAATAGTGAACGCAATTTTGACCTGGAAAACTTGGCGGTGTGTAGCCAACCTGAGACTTTGACAGTGTGTAGCAGGATCATCAATGGAACTATAGCTCCAATGTTCAAATTCATCTTACTATTTTAGGTAGTCCCGCTCACTAACTAATTATAAGTATATAATCAAGATATCTAATGAATTATCGGTCAAATATCAATCATTTGTCAGTCAATAATCCATTGTAACATCGCAATCCACAACTCCTGTTTCAGTCAGAGATTTAAATGCTAATCCCACAGCTCCGTCTGATGATCATCACGTTTCGACAACATGTACAAGAAACCCCTAACGCACGTTCCCGCCTACGGTGTTTTCAATACCGGACGTAACATGTAATCATGAAGAAACCAATGGTTCGTACCACATTTGGGAAACTTTCTACTATCTTCCTGCTATACTTTTAGAATTTTCGAACCGTACATCTGAGGATAAGGGGGTTCTATTACTCTCGCTTGATTAAGATCAAATATCGAGGTTAAAAACAAGTTTTTGCACGTGCAGCGTGAAACTACGACGTGAATGTATCTTCTAGAACTTGTTAATCGGAGCGATGGGTTTTTTGAATCTATCAAGCTTTATATGTACTACGGTATCGAGACGATTTGCTTTAATACAAGGCGCGGAATAACACAGGTGCGAAAAGAACTTCTGGCGAGTGATTATATATGAAGCCATGTGGACGGTCTTTTTGATAGGAATCTATAAATGTAAATAGAAATGCAGTTGTAGATGAAATTCAATTCCTGATTCCAATCCTCATTTTTTACTCGCCTATATACCCATTTGCCTCTTTCGTCGTTCTCAAAATCCATCTTCCTCCACCTCCATATCCACTCACCTTAATCTCCATCCTCCTCCATCTCTACACTCCTCAATCTCCACACTTCTCTATTATCATATTCCATATTAACCTTCCTCTACCTCATCAACCTCTCCCCACCCTTACCACAGTCCATCTCCACGTCCCCTATACAACCCAGGAGAATTGGCTAGAAGATGACCGTATGCCCCTGCTATAAATCCCAAGACCCTTTTCGCTGCGTAAATACTGGAAGCAGCCTTGTTACAGGCCCCATGGATATCGATGTTTTTTCTATTTAGTGTGTTATGAACTACTTCCGTGCACTCCATTAACCGAGTCTAGTCATTCTACCAAAAGAACAAGCGAAAAAGGTCATATATATCCCGCTTGAGAGGATCAGTTGTAGCACTATAACAGATGATTATATTAGCCCGTATAGAGCATCACCATCTCAGAGAGTCCTGATGGAAAAAAATCAAGTACTACAAAAATGGTTTAAAAGCCTTGAAAAAAATCTATCAAAGTCAAAATGATCCATGCAGGGGTCGAACCTGCGACCTTGGCGTTAACTACTTGCGTATTAGCACCACGCTCTAACCAACTGAGCTAATAGACCTTCTGATTGACGAGAGCAAGCAAATACAATTTTATAATTTTAACAGCAAGAAGGGAAAACACAACCAGAAACATATAGTCACACCCAGCATCATAGAAAATCATTCGTATCACCTTGCGGCTTCGCCATCACCTGATGTTGTCGTACAAGCACCCCCCATCGTTGTGCCAAAACTAAAAATATAGAATAATCCCTTTGACCCATGAAAGCTAGGAGATTTCTTGGATTTTCCATGTCGCTGACTAGATACATATTTCCCGTGATATTATGCAAATGGCGATGCAGGCGCAGCACTGTCAGCAACGGTGGCAAATCCCAGCCACATGAAACGGATCCATGCAATACCTACATCATTTCAGGGGTTGGTTTTGTTTTGTGTATCTTAAAAATGGCTCCCTTTTTCCCAGACAAAAACTCGATCACTTGTAAGCATGTTTCTTGTAAGCATGTTTTTGGACTAGTTAATCATCATCTAGAGTGGCAAGTCGGCGTTTCTCTAACTCAAGAACATTTAAGAACACGGCAAATGACATGGAGTTGTATAGGCGGTGTCTAATTTTGTAATAACTTGCCAAGAGGTACAATAAACCTGATGAGATAGATTTGTTGAGGATGGTTTTTTTCCCGAAAACTCGTGCCTAAAGATGGTGGTGCTAGCCACCGCCTCTAGGCACGAGTAGAGCTTAAGCAGATATTATTGTCAGAAATCAGGCTTTCTTCTAACCTGAAGTCGTAACAGTACTAGTCTCGGGGTTTGTCAAATACATATCATGACCGCGTCTAAGTATGCAAATCTGCAAGTATTTTTTTTTTTTTTTTTTTTTTTTTTGAAAATAAGGCTTTGCAGATGCAGCTAGGTACAGTCAATTAAAGCAAGGAACAAACGGCCAAATTCCATTAAATATCCTGATCTGGCATGACAGAAGACGGTATGCACCGCCGATGATCTTCCATAATAAATTACGTGGAGCGAAACGGTGAAATTGTAAGTATGGTTTCAAGACCTTAATTATTTTCGAATATCCATGTCAGTGAGTGTCACCAACAAAATTTGTCGGACGGTTTCAACGAAAACATACAATACACATCTGAGCCATAGTTAGTACACAAAGGTCCCAGCCGAGGCGTAGACGATGAGGCCCAGATTTGACGTAGGAGTTGACAGTTTATCTTCTGTGCTTGCAAAGTCTTTGCGAAAATTTGCCATGTTATTCAATTTTTTAACTTTATTGAAATCGGAGCAGCTTTATATGGTCTGAGTCCAATGGTCAATTCATAATTTCTTTCTAAGATAACCAAGAAAAATTCAAGAAATGAAACGTGACTTATTTGTAGGCTTTGAAATGGGTATGTTACACCACATACAGAGATGTTTGGAATTTTATCGCTACTTGTACCAGCGTAAGGATCCTCTGCTTTCCGGCGTAAAGATTCTCTGCTCCACCAGTCATCGCCACAGCCAGAACATACCCAAGGACCAGCCATGCTTCGCATCGTTTTTCAGAGAAGGTCCCGGAAACACAATGCAAAATCATCCAATTTCCCACCATGCGCTCATCAGGGGGGTTTGAATGACGATAGTAATAGTCATTAGCAGGCGGGGAGGGGAAGCCAGATTGGGGGAGACAAGCAGAACGCCAAGACAGCAACCGTCAACGATCGGCGAGGAGAAGCAGTTCAGTAACACCGGCCCTACATCGATATGCCTCGCTCCTCAGGTCCCCATATGGATATAATAGGGCTGGCATACGCTATAATCTCCAGAGAAATCAAGGATGAGCCGTAAACATGAAACCATACGGCCTATCGGACTCCGTGAAGCACATCCACTATACGAAAACTCTGCCATATCCTCGAAGCTCCAAACTTTGCACCGCGTCACGGTGCTCTATGGCGTCTCATATGGCCCATCATTCAAGAACATCTGGCTAAAGCACCTTTTATTAACTAACTTCCAGTTACTCGTGTACCAGACGTCCGTTCGTTATTACTGAAGATCCTATTCACTATAGTCAGTTGGACCCAGGCATTGCCCTCTACTCGAAGAAAAGTTTTTATCGATGTCGTTCTGGTTGTGTCCATGGCTGTCATTATTACAAAAAACTAGCATTCAAAGGCGAAAGACATAACGAATGCCAGTAATTTCGAACTCCAGCCTAACCCTTGGGTCATCAGACACAGAAGCCCAATAATAGGACCAAGAAACGATTATCCTTCCATTTCCAAACTATAGTAATGGCTCCAGAATAGGTTGTGTAGAGCCGAAACTGATATGCCATTTGTTGAAACATCGAATGATGACCGGGGACCACTCAAACTCCGGGAATATTCAACAGAGGAAATAATAGCAAGAATATTATGGACCCGATTTGGAACGTTTTTCTTCTTTTTGAGGACCGTGTTACAACAGGAGAAGCATCACCACCGCCACAGCCTGCGCCTCTTTAGAAAACCAGGTCACAGCACGGAACAGAAGTGGAAATATACGTTGTCCAAAAGGGCCTGGTATTGGGTGGCAGGTCTTGTTGTAATCTGGAACTGCTGTTAATTTGCCGAATCAACCATCCCTTCGTAATCATGCCTGCAGTGTTACACAAATATTTGAGGCTCCATCCTCCCCCCCCCCCCCCCTCTTCAATCTCTGAGAATCGCCTAACAACGACTGAACTTACCAGCATCGCAAACCAAACGCCGCTTTCGTTTCCCCCATTAGCTCGATTTCCCAAGCGGTCCAATATTCACAGCAAACGATACGCACCATCAACAGGGATGAGGGCAGGAAAGTAAGCGAAGGCGCGGCGGTCTTGGGCGGCTGCGATGAGGAGTTCAACAGCCAGCACCTCATTCCGGGAATCGACTCATCAGAGATATCGTCGGTACGCCGTCTCCCGCCGTTTCTGGTCAAGGTTATTGGAGAGAAGGTCAAGTTTTGAGGCCCTGTGAACCTCAGGTTATGCGGAAGCGTGACCCGATCGAGAGAGGCGGAGGGGCGGGAGAGGGAGGAGAAATAGTGAAGAAAGACCGTGGTATGGACTTGCGAGTGAAGGCGCACATTTGGAATAAAACCAAATATGGAAGTCTGGTATTGGGTTTAGCTCGGATTTGTACGTTGATCCTCACTTTCACTTAGCTTCTCGCCCACACCCTCCACTCCTAAGAACCTCCCCATAGCCACACTCCCTTTGATCTCCCTCAGTCTCTAATAATCTGGTTAGCAAGAAGCCGACTTATAAGCAACTGCACTTCGTCCTCGACATATCTTCTATCGGTATCCTGCTACTTCCCGTGGCTGCATCTGCCACCATCCTTCCTCATTACACAGCCCTGCTCCTCTGCTCTCTGCTACTCTCTTTACGGTTCCAAAATCTCCAAAACGGCCCCAACTTTTGTCGCAGTATTTTCTCCGGACACTTCGCTTCTCGTTTGTAGCAGCAGCAAATCCTTCGGACCCTGTTCTTCTTTCAGGACCTCTTACCATCATCAACAGAGATACGACTCGCACCACAACTTTTCTCCCATTTCATATCGCCATCGTATCTTGTCGTATCGAAACGAGTGACAATATTTGAAGGCGGTCCTTCTCCCTCAGCTCCAGAGTGCGTCAACCGCGGAACCTCAAGCCATCACGTTCCTGGTAACAACTGGTCAAACAAAGCCTTCAGTCTTGGTTTTACCAAATATCAGACGCTTCCCGTGGCTACCAAACACCGGTGCCTGAAAAAATGACCTCGGACAAAATGAATAGTCCGAAGACACAAGATGTGTAAGTTGTGTGCTGTAGAACGTGAAAGATAAAACTGACTGTTCCCAGTACTGGAGACATGACCACCCTTACGGAGGCGTCACGGGTTACGGCATCTGAAGGCGATCCTTCTCCCTCAACCCAAATGACAGACGCCTCCCGTGGCCATCAAACACCTGAGCCCGAAAACGGAGCCAGAGGAAAAATGGATAATAAAACGACACGAGATGTGTAAGTTGTTTACTGTAGGACTTGAATGATAAAACTGACTGTTTGCAGACGGAATTCGGCCATTCGAGGCCCCTCCGTTAATGGATGGCTACAGACGGTCACCACCCCGGGACGACATCGGCGTTCCATTGTCGCAGAAGTGCTGAATAATTTCGACGCATCATTTCCTGATGATCATGACTGTAAGACCCCCCAATATTGGTGCACGTATATTGAATTTACTAATGTTTCGGTAGCAAAACTTTTAGAATGACGTGTTTTTCGGATTGCGAGCATGGTAGTTGGATGGTCCGAGACGAAAAACAAGAATGGTATTGTGGGCAGAAGGACGATATATCCAAATTGTTTTAATGGTTTGATAGCTTGAACGTGGTTGTATACTTCGGTGATAATTCGATGGCTTGGTTGGTATTTTTTTTAATGTATTATCATGTGTTCTAAGATTCCTAATAGTTAAGTGTACTTTCTAGAATAAATTGATAAAGTACTTACTTGAAGAACTCCCTGGAAAAGTAGATCGCCCAAGATTGCGGAAAGTGTCAGTATATACTCTTTTTTTTGTTGGTACCTGACGCGAAGCCAGTTGATATAACTCCTTGTGACAGTCCTTAAATTCTCTCATTCGGTCGGCAGTGGAAACATATACACCAACATCCATCCAGTCAAATGACCCCTATAGAGCCTCTACCCCCCAAAGCGGTGAAAGACGCACTCAGTATGTAGCAAACGAGATTTGCATGTTTGAACATGACTTGACCCCGAACATCTCAAATTACCGGCATATGAAGCTTCTTCCACGAGCCGGTTTTCGTGGGCTGTAATACCAAGGCGAAAGTTCTGTTACAAGGAACCCCACCTCACAGCGCCGCAAGCGTTGTTATCCATGCAGGCATCCCCTCAATAACGAAACTGCAGCTTTATATGGCGACACATCGCGATTGATACTGAGTATCCTTATGATATCCCCTCATAATATAATCGCTCACTAACGATGGTTTCTGTGCAGCGGTTTGCTACGACATGTGCA